GGTCATGATCCCAGGGTCCTGGGATCGTGACCTGAGCCGAAGGCAGACGCTTAACGACTGAGCCACCCAGGTGCCCTAGCATTTGACTCTTGATCTCAGGGATGTGCTTTCAAGCCCCCGTTGGATGTGGAGATTATTTACAAATAAAATCTTACAAAAAGAAAGAAAACCCCAAAACACTGGAAAAGACTTAAAAAATCAAACTACGGGCCATTTAAAAATTGAGAAACAAATTTTGGCAAAACTGATAAAGGAAAAGAAAAAACATGCCAGGACGCCTGGGTGGCTCAGCGTCTGCCTTCAGCTCAGGTCATGATCCCAGGGTCCTGGGATGGAGCCCCACACTGGCCTCCCTGCTCTGAGGGAAGCCTGCTTTTCCCTCCCCCACTTCCCCTGCTGTGTTCCCTCTCTCGCTGTCTGTCAAAAAATAAATAAAATCTTTAAAAAAAAAAAAGAACATGCAAATAAACAAAACAGAATGAAAAAGAGAAAATAACTGGACGGATCTGAGTTGAAAGAAAATGAAATTTTGGGGGCACCTGGGTGGCTCACTGGGTTAAGCAACTGCCTTTGGCTCAGGTCATGACCCTGGGGGTCCCAGGATCAAGCCCAGGATTAAGCCCAGCACCACATGGCATTGCATCACATCGCATCCCATCAGGCACATCGCATCCCATCAGGCGCATCACACTGCATCAGGCTCCCTGCTCCGCAGGAGGCCTGCTTCTCCCTCTCCTTCTGCCTGCCGCTCCCCCTGCTTATGCTCTCTCCCTGTAAAATAAATAAAATCTTAAAAAAAAAAAGATAAAAAAAATTTTTTTTAAAGATTTTATTTATTTATATGAGAGACAGTATGAGGGGGGAAGGATCAGAAGGACAAGACTTCCCACTGAGCAGGGAGCCTGGTATAGGACTCTGGGACTCTGTATGTATGTAGGATCCTGGGACTCTGGGATCATGACCTGAGCTGAAGGCACACACTTAACCAACTGAGCCGCCCAGGTGCCGGAAATTTTTTTCTCCTTTAAAAATTTTTCTTATTTCCTAGAAAATGGAGTTTTAATTAAAGACCTCTACCTTTAAAAGGCTTCAGGTCCAGAGGATTTTTTATACGTGGGTTCTACCTACCTTCTAAACAGAAAGTAATTCTAATCACATAAAAGTTGACTGAGAAAACAAGGGAAAAACTGACCAACTCTTTTTAGGAGGCTGGGCTCACCTCAATTTAAATTGAATAAGGACAATATAAAGCCCATTTTGCTTATGAACATAGATGTGGAAATCCAAAATAGGAGCTAACAATTTTTCAAAGGACACACACACTCTCTCTGATCAAGAATATTTACTGCAGAGGGGCGCCTAGGTGGCTCAGTAGGTTGAGTGTCCACCTCTTGGCTTCACAGCTCAGGTCATGATCTGGGGATCCTGGGGTGAGCTCCTGAGCTCTGCGCTCTGCAGGGAGTCTGCTTGGGGTCCTCTCCCTCTCTTGCCCCTCCCCTGTCCTCTCTAGGATAAATGAATAAATCTTAAAAAAAAAAAAAAGATTTACTGCAGGAATGCAAGGATAATTTAAGATGAGAAAATCCACCCTTATAATTCCCCATACTAATGGACAAAAGGACTTCATATAGAAACAAGTAAAGAGCATAAAGGACAATACAAGAAAAAGAAAACCCAAATGGCTAAAAGTACAGATGCTACTAACAGAGAAATGCAAATGAAAACAATCAGAAACCCTCTTATACATTCACCAGATTAAAAACAAATTAGTAACTCCAATAATACTTAGTATTGGCAAGGATTTGGGAAAAAGGAAACCCTCACATACAATTTGTAGATATACACTGGTATAGTTATTTTGGAGAGCAATCTGGCAGTCCTTAGAGAAGTTGCATATGCCTATATCCTATGACCCAGCAATCCCACTCTTCTGTAAATATTCCAGGGAAAGTCTCACACAGATCCACAGAGACTTGTTTTGGGATGTTAATGACAGAACTGTTTGAGAAGTGAAGGAGCTGGAGGCAATCGATCTATTCCCTGCTAGAGAAATGGGTAAGAAAATGTGCTGGAGGGGTGCCTGGGTGGCTCAGTCGGTTGAACCTCTGCCTTTGGCTCAGGTCATGATCTCAGGGTCCTGGGTCAAGCTGTGCACTGGGTTCCCTGCTCGGTGGGGAGTCTGCTTCTCCCTCTCCCTCTGCCATTCCCCCCCTGCTTGTGCTTGCTCGCTCTCTCTCTCTCTCTCTCTCCCCCTGTCAAATAAATAAATAAAATCTTTAAAAAAGAAAAGAAAAGAAAATGTGCTGGATGCATACTCTGGAATACCATGTAGAAGATGGAAGCAATTAACAAAATTTACAAATAGCAACATGCACAGATCATCAAAAAACAGGGTTGGGTGAAAAAAAAAAGCCTTAGATACAGAACAAATCTAGATTACAATACCATTTTATAAATTCAAAATACATATGCTATACAAAACACTCTTTTGTCAGGGCTATACACACATCCAAAAACACATTAAATATATTAGAGTGCCTTGGAGGATTAAGATACAGAAATATGAGTGGAGAAAGAGGATGAAGGGTAAGGAAGAAACAATAAATACTACAAAAGAAGGGTCTTCTATCAATATACAGTTAGAGACAGCCTCTAAGATGGCTTTCGGTAGCCTCTGCCCCCTCGTTTCCATACCTTTGTGAAATCACCTTCACTTAAATGTGAACTTGTAACAAACAGAATATGCAAAAATAACAGAATGTCATTTCTGAGATTAGACTGCCTCTTGCTGGTCTGCTCTAAGCTGCCCTGTGCAGAGGCTCACGTGGCAAAGAACTGAGGGAGGCTCCAGGCCAAAAGCCAGTGAGGAACTGAGGCAGTCAGTCCAATAGTCCAGAGGAGCTGAATCCTGCGATAACCATGTGAGGGAGCCTGGAAGCCGATCCTTCCTCAGTTGAGCCCTCAGATGACTGCAGCCCTGACTGATACCTTGAGTAGAGCCTGTGAAAGACCCTGAATCACAAGCACCCAGCTACGCCACGCCCACAGCCTGACCAAAGAAACTGTGAGAGAAATGTTTGTTGTTTCCAGCCCCTAAGTTTTAGAGTAATTTGTTATGAAGCAATACAGCTATGAACTGAGGTTTGTAAGTTACTCAAAATTGAGCATTTGAGATCCAAAAGAAAAAAAACCCATGACCTACATAGTGATTCCATGGAGTCATGACCACTGATAATATTCCATCTTAATAAAAGCTCCATGGAGAGGGAGCATGGCTGTTATTTACTGATAAACCCCCAGAACCTGGAAGCATGTCTGGCACACAGCAAATATTCAGTCAATCTTTGAATGAAGAATGCCAGATTTTTGTTTGAACTACTAAGATTTCTTATCTTTGTCTAGTTCCTGACCCTCCGCACTCCCACATTCCTTGATCCTCAACTCATCCCTACCAGAACTGTGACTGCTTCTGCCCCAAGGCTCTAAATGCCCTATAGTGACACCTAGTCTGGGAAACAATGTTAGAAGAGTATAGCTGGGGTCAGGTGCTGCCAGTATACAGTGTATCTAGATGAGCCTGGATAGTAAGACTCTGTTGTCTTCTCCCTTCTCTTCCTCTTTTCCTCAACTGACTCTCTCCAGATCTTTCTTCCCATCCCTCTACTAAAAAAAATCTAAATCAAGTCGTTACTGATATATAGGTGTCACCCTACTTTTTTTTAAGGATCATGATTCAATGTCCCACAAAGCATAAAGTTCGCTCCAGGCCTTCTTTGAAGGTTCTATGTTACAAATACTTCTTTCTAGTCAGATAAAATTCCTTAGCATCCAATGAATAGACATTTTCTAACAAAAAGAAATATAAAGTCAATCCAAGGCCACCTGAAAAATGACCTGAAAAATTTTTGATTAACAAAGAAACAATGTGTTTACTGAAAAATAGTATCAAAATACCCTTAGTTGACTAAATGTGAGACAGAAATAAATTTTCCTATTCTTCTAGTAGTAGTCTCTAAGACAGCCTTTTTCTCAAATGAGTATCAACACTGCAAATTTATGAGACTCCAATTTTCAAGAATATGTTCTTATCATTGCTAAAACTACACTGCAGGAGTACAGAAATGAGGTCTACCTGGCACAATTTCCGGCAATTTTTGAAGAAATGAATATATTGGAGAAAAGCCTATAGTCAAATTTTAACCACCATGAACAGTAAAGAGTATCTACTGGTTCCATTAATAGAACACTTATAAAAATGATATTGTCCAAAAACTAATTCTTGATTAGACAGATTACTAAAGAGAAAAATAACCATATGTGATGCCTACTTTATCTCACAGCAAGCATCTCCTTTACATTATCCTGTCAGAACCAACGTTTTGTTTACACAGCTTATGTATTCATTTTCACTAATGGCTAATTCAATTTATTTAAGCTAAGTAAGGTGCAACACGAAATTTTAATTCAAGTAACAGAGTCAAAAACCTTAGACAATAAAAAATATTACAGCAAAATTTCTAGCAAACTTAATAGTTGCTGTGGTGTGGAATCTCTACAAAGAGACTTAGGGTGTCTCTTTCTCCTCTAGGATTAAGGAAAAGAAGTGATTAAAGACACAGAAAAAGAACAGGCAATAGATCAAACATCTGAGGTTCTAAGATTCCTACGCTCTCCCAAAACAGCAAATATGGGGCTTTCCCTATTCCACACCTAAAAAGGATACCATATCCACATAGTTTTTTAAGGAGTTAGACTGGGTTCCACTAATATTTCAGTTTTTACTGTAATGTGCATAGGTCATTCATTCAAGAAGTATTTACAGAGCACCTACTCAGTTGCAAGGAATTGCACTGAAGACAAAATTAAGAATTAAGCCTTTAAATCCCTGAAGTTTAGTAGAAGGGACATCATTTGATCTATCCTAGGTGTATTTTCTGCACTTAGGAGGAAACAAGCATACCATAGTATTAGGCACAGGCAATCAACATCTATGTTAAAAATACTTATCTGTAAAACTGATGTCCTAAAACAAAAACAGATGAACCTCAATCATACATTTTCTTGAAGGTATTTTCAATAAATCGAGTGTAACTTTAAAAGTGACAACACACTGTTAAGCAGTGTTCAGAATGTTCATCTCTGGGATATGAAAACAACCATAATGCTAATTTAGTCAGTCGCTAATGATTATAAATACATACAATACATGAGTGATCCATGACCAATTACAGCACGGCATACATTCTTCTTACTTTTATCATCACTGTATAATAAATTCTCAAGAAGCATGAGAAAGTTATCAAAAGAATGCCTGCTCAGGAAAAAAAAGAATACATATATCTGTATTTGGTAAACTTTCTGTTTACCCTGAACAAAACAAAAATAAATCAGTGAATATAACAATTAAAATGTAATTCAAAATCCATGTTCAAGCCATATCAATAAACATAAGCAAAATCTATTTAGCATATAATCAACACTGACCACATTGATTTGATACATTATCTTTTTAACCAATCATGTAGCTAAAAAGAAAAACCTAAACCATTGCTGTAAACAGAAATTCAACAATGCTGTTAGTACAGCAAATTTTACAAGATTCTCTAATTCTTAGTATTTGTCAGAACTGGGACACCAGTTTCAAAATAAAATGCAGAATCTGTTGTATAATATGCCAAGTACTGAATCTGTAAAATGTAAAAGCTTCTTGAATAACCAAAGCCATAGAGGAGCTTTACACAGCTTTCCACAGTCTAGGAATGTTGGAAATTGATCAGCACTGCCGTTTTTTTTTTTTTAAAGCATGATACAGTAATATTAATAGTAATAGTAATACAAAATAAAGAGTTCTGACTCGATTCCTGTGTGAGAACTCACTGATTACAAAAATCATCTCCTTTGGAAAAGACAATAGGGCTGCACATTGAGACATTTAGTCCTGTGAACTTTACAAGAATCTTCTTGACACCGTGGTGTTCTATCATTGTGGCAAAGATTCTAAAACATTAGGAATGTTTTCAGCTGTAACTAAAGGTCTGATTTCAAAGAGGAATACATAAGTGAATGCTTTCAAGACAGAAGGATGCAAAATTGTGCTATTGGAATTTAGTAACTGATATAAAATGGCACTTCGCAGTCAAAAGAGAAAATTATTTTTGATTAAATAAGGGCTGAGACTATCCACTGTAAGGTACTTAAGGATCCACGTTTATCTCTAACTTCGTCACCATACGCTATACGATATGAAACAAATGTTTCGAGGGATACGTATTTTTAAAAGGTACCAACTCTTAATCAAAAGGGCCAAAAACCTCCCAGAGGACGCCCAGCACCAGAATAAAGAAACATCCTCAACAATATCACACCTACCTAACAAAATGTAAGAAAAGAAGCTGCATCCCATTTCAAGGCTTTCGAGGTTTTTCAGGGCTGAGGGTATGGGGCGGGGGCGTGGACGAATTCGGGAGAGAACTGCTCAAAAAAGCTAAGAAATAAAGAGAGATGTGTTTTTCCGACCAGAGACTTCTCTAATGACACAGGCCTAGAAAGGGGATCGCCAGGAACCCCCGAAAGTCCCAGGCTGGATAGGATTCCTCAGGTAGCGAACCCGTCACCTGAGCCACAGGTGTCAGCGACAACAGCGAGGACCTAAGACCTCGGCGCAGGCAAGGGAGGGCTAATGGCAGGATACGCAGACGGCTCTCATTGCCGGCCCCGAATCCCTCGCCAAGCTGGCCACGGGGGCCGGGGATCCCCGGAGCACCGGGAGAGTGAACACTCACCTGTGGCTGCCGACGATCCTTGGGAAACCGCCCACCGCCAGGCGGAGGGGAACGGCCGTGCGTTGCTCAGGGCGGCTAGGAAGTAGGGCCCTGCCCAGCCCCAACCACTCTGCTCCGTGCTCACGGCCCCAGGACGGCGGTGGCCAACCGTCACCAGCCCTCAGTGCTGCTTCAGCTCACCAAGAATTTGAAGGCAAACCCGTCAGGGTCACTTCCGGTGCTGGGGGTGGCCTCGGCGACTGCAGTGCACGCGGGGCGACGCCCCGGGAGCGAGGACGCCGGGCGGCGTGCGCGCGCCGGGCGCCAGGCACCGGGCGGGGAGCTGGGCGGGGCTGGCTGGGGCGCGCCTGCGCAGTCCGCACCGCCTCCTGGCGGCGGTCGAGGCGGAGAATAGGGATGGTAGGGATATAAGTTATTGTCGCGTATCGTACCTTGGTAACTTTTTCCAAAGTTCTCGCTCACTTTTCCTCCCATTTGATTTTCACCACACTCCTTAGAGGTTCGGAAGTTAGAAGGTCTATTTTACAGGTGAGAGTCAAGGGCCAAATAATTTGTTTGTGACAAATCCAAGTACGCAGAATTCGACTAAGGCTCTTGTCACGACAGAAGATGAATAAAACAGGGAATGGGTAAACAAAGATATTCGGACAAGGTGCTGGTGGACTTTCATTTTCTTGATTTATTTTTTTGGTCATCGTTTTAATACAACCGGACAACACACAATACTGTGCTGTTTCAGGATTTATCGATACGGACTCCACAGTACGATTGGCCATGCTTCCTCCAGTTTGAATCTCCATCCTCTTCCTCCACCTAAGGTGGAATGAGGCACTAGACACGTTTTCCTTTAGGAGTGCATGGTAATTAAACTTCTAACCGTAAGTCATCAATTTAACACAGATTTATATAAAGGCAATTCAAGGGAAATATATCAATTTAGTCCACAAATATTTATTGAACTATGATGTCGACACCGTTGTAGGCATTGAGTATACATATAGCAATCAAAAAAATTTAATGTCTCATGGAGCTCAAAATCTTGTAAAATTCTCACCTAAGTAGAAAATAGTTTTGCTACGGTGGATAGCAACTCCACTGTAATGGAGCAAAGGAAATTGTAATTCGTATAACTTAAAAAAAAAAATTTCGGGGAGGTACAGATTAATTACCCTAGTTAGCCTGAATCAACCTTCACCTTTTATATGTGTGCAAAGGTATGCTGAATTGTAAAGCCCATTTGTAGTTTTAAAACTTCTCAAAACAGAGGTGCCTGAGTGGCTCAGTGGTTAAGCAGCCAAGTCCCTTGGTTTTGGCTCAGGTCATGATCTCAGGGTCCTGAGATGGAGCCCGATTCTTCTCTCCCTTGCCCCCCCCCCACGCGCACTCACTCTCTCTCTAAATATATCCTAAAACAAAACAAAACGAAGACTTCTCAAAACAAAATGAATACATATTTTTTTAACAAAATGAATACATATTATATAATTCTGTTTATATGAAATTCTAGAACGAGCAAAACTTAATCTATAGCAACAAAAAGCTATCAGTGTTTGCTTGAGGCTGGATTAAGGGTGGGAGGAGGGAGGAAAAGGATTAGACTTCAGAGAGGCATGAGGAAAGGTTCTGAAGTGATGGAAATGTTACATATCTCAATTAGGGTAGTGGTTACACAAATGTATGTATTTATTTAAAAACTCTTCGAAGAGAACACAAAAAATGGATGCATTTTATTGTGCTTAAATCATACCTCAATGAAGTTAATTTTATTTTATTATGTTAATCACCATACATTACATCATTTGTTTTTGATGTAGTGTTCCATGATTCATTATCTGCGTATAACACCCAGTGCTCCATGCAGAACGTGCTCTCCTTAATACCCATCACCAGGCTAACTCATCCTCCCACCCCCCTCCCCTCTAGAACCCTCAGTTTGTTTCTCAGAGTCCGTATTCTCTCATGGTTCATCTCCCCCCTCCAATTCCCTCCCCTTCATTTTACCCTTCCTACTATCTTCTTTTTAATACATAATGTATTATTTGTTTCAGAAGTACAGGTCTGTGATTCAACAGTCTTACACAATTCACAACGCTCACCATAGCACATACCCTCCCCAATGTCCATCACCCAGCCACCCCATCCCTCCCACCCCACCACCACTCCAGCAACCCTCAGTTTGTTTCCTGAGATTAAGAATTCCTCATAGCAGTGAGATCATATGATACATTTTTAAAGTAAAAAACCTCCAAAGAGCGGCTTACGTTCACTTGTTCAGTTTCTTCACTAGTTGTACCACTTAGGGAAGACTATGCTAAGCTGTAGAAGCCCCTAAATCAGAGGTTTCAAACAACAGGATTTTTTTTTTTTATGGGAGTATAAACCCCCTTATACCAAAAAAGAATCTGAGTTTACCAAAGGGGCTATAAAGTCATGCCCCTTTGGACACTTTTTTCTTTTCTCATTTACTCTATATGTTCATAGCAGAGTGAATGCAGGCACTGGGACCCTTGGCCATGGGGAAAAATGGGGGGGAGTAACTTACACAACTTCTTCCTGGGTATGATGCATGCCACTTTTGCCCACATCTCATTGGCAAGTCATGTGACCAAGCCTGACTTCAAAGGGACAAGGAAGTGCAACTGCAGAGTGCTCTGAAGGAGAAACAGTATTTGTATACCACACTCCTGACTACTACACTAGTCATTTCTTCTTTCACAGGGTAGCTTCTACAACCACCAGCCTTCTGAAGTGATTGTGTCCAAACTGGGACTCATAAAATTATTATTATAATTATATATTTTTTCCTAGTGAGTAGTCAGATTAATTTGGCAGAATGATAGGGCACATGAAGGGAAATTACGGAAAAAGAAGTAGAAAGGTAGGTGCCAATAAAGGGTGTAAACTTTATTCAATTGGCAAAAAGGAGCCAATGAAAGTTTTCAAATGAAAGCATAAGTGACACAGCAAATAGGGAGATTAATTTGGCAGCTGTGAGTAGGAAGATTTGAAGGGGAGGAAGAAGAGATTGGGAGACTGTTGTAAGAGGTGTAGTGACCTCTGGAATTACACAGAAGATATTTCTAGAAAAAATAAATACATTAAATCATTTTTTAAAATTTAAATTTTTATTATTTACTGTTTTATCTACTAAATTTAAATGTTAAAAATTTATGTTTCATCAGAGAAATCTAAAAGGACTTTCAGGACCAATTTATTAATTTTACTCACCTGGTCAATTGTATCTGGCAGTCCTTGCCTACATACTTCAAACATTTGAGCCATCTCTTAGAATACAGAGTATATATGAGAAAATTCTAACCACGATTAAGAATCTGCTGGATTTTTAGATTATGTGGCAATATTTGCAGTAACAAACAGGGGCAGATCCCCAGTGTTGTTCACTAAGCGTGTAATATACATTCTTCCTAAATAATAGCTTCCATCACCATCCTGCTACTCCCAGACTGCTGAATACTATGGGGAAAAAAAAAATCACACCACCATGAAGATTGATGCACCACAATTGTATAACTTCCAACCCACCTGAAATATACTTTTCTGCATGTTCCACCTTAGTTCTCTCTCCTACTCGCTTCACATTAGTTATTTCAAACTTTCACCACTTTCCTCAAGCCAACCTCTACCCATTTCCACCCTTTCAGCAAATCACGATGTCTCCACCAGAGAAAATGGAAGCTATCAGATTGAAATTCCCTCAACTTGCTCCCTGTGGCAGAGACTATCATCTGGCCACCAAATACTCATTTTCTTTACTCAGTAACAGAACTAAGCTTGATGGAATTGGGCCATCTAGAATGCAGACTACATTTCCAGACTCTCATGCAGGTAGGTGTGGCCAGGGATCTGACTTCTGGCCAGTGAAGTGTTACGTAGAACTCTTAGGAAGACACCTTAAAGGGAGAGGTCCTGAAACTCTCCCTTACCCCCTTCTCACATCCCCTCTTTTTACCAGCTGAGAACAGGGAACAGATGGATAGAAATAAGCAGCCAGCTGCTGATGTAAGTCACCTATAGGATATAAGCCATATGATGAAGGTAGCAGAATTGAACAGACGAAGTGTGGGCTGACTTTGTGGAGCTGCCATACCTGCTATGGACTGCCAACTCCAGGTATTGTATGTCTAAGCAGTGGTTGTTTTGGGTTTTATATGCAGCTAAACCTAATCACAATACTTGTACCGTCCAACTTACATGTCTCTACTTCACACTTGCCCTTTGGCTTTCGCCTCCCATTTCAATGAAAGCTTAGTTTCCTTTGTCTACGCCCACGTCCTCCCCTTGAACTTAAAATTTGATTTTGGTTTTATTGCCAATTTATGTATTTATATTTATATGCTTCAAAATTCAAATGATACAAAAGGCTATATAGTGAGAAGTCTATTTTCTTGCCACCCTAGAAATCCAGTTCCCATCCCCAGAGATAATCAATGACATCACATTCATTAATTACCTTCCAGAGATATTCTTTTATTCTACATGCAATTAAATAATGCCATTTCTTGGCCCTCTCATGGGTTTTCTCATATTCTGCCAGTTTATGTCTTCAATCAAAGGACATTCCCTTTTGGTTCTTATACTCTTTACTTTTTTAAAGATTTTTTATTTATTTGATAGAGAGAGACACAGTGAGAAAGGGAACACAAGCAGGGGGAGTGGGAGAGGGAGAAGCAGGCCTACCGCTAAGCAGGGAGCCCGACGCGGGGCTCGATCCCAGGACCCTGGGATCATGACCTGAGCTGAAGGCAGACGCTTAACGACTGAGCCACCCAGGGGCCCCTACCCTTTATTTTCTTACTGGGATTTCCTATCTTTACATTTGTTATGAGAAATTTTTCTTTATATCATTGTGCATAGTTTTTTTTTATGATTTTATTTATTTATTTGAGGGGGGAGAGCAGAGGGAGAGGGAGAAGCAGACTCCCCGCTGAGCAGAGAGCCTGATGTGGGACTTGATCCCAGGATCCTGAGATCATGACCTGAGCTGAAGGCAGACGCTTAACTGACTGAGCCACCCAGGTGCCCCATCACTGTGCATAGTTTTAAGAGCCATTGTACTATTTTGCCAATTCCAGATGTTGGAATAGGCTCTCGGGGTTGATCTCCACTGTTTTTTCTTTTGAGAATAGGTCATATTTTTGTATTTCTTTGTATGACATGTAATTTTGAAGTGTATCCTTGATATTGGATATGTTATGTTACAGATACTCTGGTTTAAATCTGTGATATATCTCTGGAGGTGTTTTTTAGTTTGCTTGTTTTGTTTTG